TTTGTAATTTATTATATATTTCTGGTAAAAAATGTAAGAAGTTAAGAATAACTATATACATAAACCCTGTATTGGCACTTTTCAGTCACAATCTGAGAGTCTTTGATGTTTGGTCTTACTGTGGCTGTCGTTAGATAGAGTCAAATGAATATTTCCTAATGGTTTACAAATAAAACTATATTATTAACATTTTCAATTTATGGTAATTTTGTTTTCCTTAATACTTTGCACCTTCAGATAAATGTGTTTGAGCATTCACATGAATATTTAGTACTTATTTTTAGTTGTGCTATATTGTGAGCAATTGTCTTTATGAAGAGTTACAAAAAGCTTGGTCCTTGTCCTCAATGACAATTCAATAATGAAGACACTGTTTTGAGAAAAAGGAAAAGGAGGGTTGAGTGCTTTGCTAGTAAAGGAGAAGCACAGGGGATTCCTGTCCTAGAGGTCCTGATTCTGCCCATCAGGGAGAACAGAGGGATTTTAAGGAAGGGATTCATTCCAAGTGTCCCCTGAGTGGGGGGAGGATTCATGTGACAGTTTGGGGGACAGCCATTCCCTAGATCCTGCCATCCCCGAAATCTGAACTGCTTGGTCCCCGTGGTGGGTGTGTGCTCTGCCTAGGATGGGAAAAAAGGTAATCCTGTTTTCCTTCCCCAGGTTAGGGAGGAGGAGAGGGAGAAGAGGAAAGGAAAGCATGTCCATTTAATAACAAGTCTCAATGGCAGCTTAAATAAAAGAGTCTAAATTGCACAGCAGATGAGATAATGCATCCGCATCAGAGAGTGTGGTCTGGTGTGCAGAAAGAAAGAAGGAATGCAAAACATGTGATAGGAAAATACAATGTAAAATACAAATTATGTGGAAAAGTGATGACATTTATAATCCCAAATGGAAAACAATTCTTCAATTAAATACAGATTGCCAAATAGGAGGAGAAATCACAATTTTGGGTCAATTCTTTGTAAAAAAAGAAATGTGAAATAAAAAACATATGGAACATTCCAAAGTCAAGATATGGCAGAAAGTACAAAGAGACACCATGAAAATTCCAAACACAAAAAAACAGTGGTGGAGATGGGGCTAAAATAATATCGTATAATTGAATAATTTAATCAATAAAGTGAATAAAGACAAAATTCAGCATTATAAATAAAATGGCCCATTTATAATGGGACAAGCCTCAAACCAGCACAAAGAAATTGTCATTGTTCTCCGACATACTAAACTGTTTTACTATAGTCCAAAATAGAAAAGTAGAAGAGGAGGAAGGAAGACAAGATAGAGGGGTGAGGGGGAAGAGTGGGAGGAGCAGAAGTCCTGTGATCTGATTGGTGAGGACTTCAAACAACTGATAAGGTCAACTGTTCCCATAATCATACTTGTGTAGGCCTTCACCCTTATTGGTTTCACTGCTGTAGAACAACATACCAAATACTGGGTGACTTCAACAACAATCATCTAGTGTTCGCCTTTGTCAAGGATGAGGATTCCAAGATCAAGGAATGACCTGATTGGTTGTCAGGTCAAGGTCTGCTTCCTGATTCACGAATGGACAAGGATCTTCTCGGTGTGCCCCCATATAGCAAGCCCTCTGGACTTTCCAGGGACACTGAGAAGAGACACATCCTCATGACCCTATTTCATCCTAACTATTCACCAACATCTCATGCTCTAACAGCATCACATTGGGTGGAGGATTTCAACATATGAACTGGGTGAGGGGGCAAAGACAAGCATTCAGTACATACAAATCACTGTATTAGATTTGAAGAAAATCATTGTTGGAGTCTTATCCCTAAAGACCTCTATGCCCTCTATGCAGGTTGCAGTCCAGGAACTACCAGTATGTCCTGTCGTTGGTTTTTGCCATTGAAGAGATCAACAGGAACCCATATCTCTTACCCAACATATCTCTGGGATATGAGTTCCATAGTGTTCTGCACACTGGTAGGTGGACATTGGAGAGCTCTTTAACTTGGCTTACCGGAAGGGTCAAGTACATCCCTAATTACACCTGTAGCAAGGAGAGCAAGTCCGTAGCAGTAATTACAGGACAAACATGGACATCTTCAGCCCAAATTGGAACACTGCTGCACCTCTACAGATTTCCACAGGTGAGGGTGGGAGGGATGGGGAGAGATGAAACCATTATCTATTGGTGCGATTGCCAGGGGAATAAAGAGAGTGACAGGAGAAGACTGAGTTATGCCTGTTATCAGAGTGTATTGTCTCTAAGGCGGTACTCCAGCACTGGAGGGAAATTACATATACGTGGTTTGAAATATACAGGGAGAAGGGGGGAAACATAAAAGGGCTTCCCTGAACATAGAGATGAGTCAGTTCCTTTATAGGATGGTGTGAGCAAGTAGGAGTTGATTAGAAAACTAGGACAAGGAAATCTTCACTTGTACCACTTAAAAAGGTTGTACAACACCTGTCAGTTCTGAGAGGGTGCCTGGCGCCATCCTCTTCCTCACATGGCCTCCATGTCCTTCCCTTTCAGCTCACCTTTGGGCCTTTTGAACCCATCTTGAGTGACAATGGCCAGTTTCCTTTTCTCTGTCAGATGGCCCCCAAGGACACAACTCTGGCCCTTGGCATGGTGTTCTTGATGGTTCATTTCAGCTGGAACTGGGTGAGGCTGATCATCTCAGAAGATGAGAAAGGCATTCGATTTCTCTCAGATGTGAGAGGAGAGATGGACAGGAACGGAGTCTGCCTGGCCTTTGTGAATATGATCCCAGTCACCATGCTGTTGTATTTCACAAGAGCTCACAAACATTACAACCAGATCATGAAATCCTTGGCACGTGTGGTTATCATTTTTGGTGACACAGAGTCTCTTCTGGCTGTGAGTTTTAATAGATGGGACAATGTAGTCACACAGAGAGTTTGGGTCACCACCTCACAATGGGATGTTACCAATAGTAAGAAACCTTTCATCCTGGACCCATTCCATGGCGCACTCATTTTTTTCTCACCACCATGGGGAGATTTCTGGTTTGAAACATTTTATCCAGACAGCGAACCATGTCAAATACCCAGAGGACACATTCCTTGCTTCGTTGTGGTGGATGCATTTTAACTGCTCAGTCTCAGAGTCTGAGTGTAAAACATTGGAGAGCTGTTCTTCCAAAGGCTCCTTGGCATGGTTACCACGGCACCATTTTGACATGGCCATGAGTGACGGGAGTTACAACATATACAATGCTGTCTATGCCGTGGCC